GACTGCTGAAGTCTCTCTTGCCCACTCTGTCCTGGCAGAGAAAATTCAGCATATGTCTGTTTCAGTTTGCAGTGTGATCCAAAAATCCCTGTAGGAGTTTGGAGCATGGGTTCCCATGACATGCTAGTTCATGTCTCTCACCTGTCCATTTTTTTTCAACTAGTTTTGTTTTTCCTTTGTTTTGCAGTAGAAGGGAAGGGAGAGCTCTTTATTAGATGGGTTCTAGAAAGCACTTCATAACAGAAACATCCAGTAGACTCTGCAACTTCTACTCAAAACAGGTTTGGGGTTTCTTTCCTAGCTTCCATTCTTAAAACATGCTGTTATTTTCTACTGCTTCTGCTGGCTTGTCTAAAGTCCAATAAATATTATTGTATGTCTGACTTGGAACTTTCTATGTAAAATCAAAACAAGGCTTTGTTAAATCAAAACCTTGTTTGTTCAAACACACAAGTATTCCCTGAGGCAAAGTATATCTTTTGTCATGAGAAACATTGTTCAAATGACCAGCGTGATACTGCAAAAAGTTATGAAAAGGCTGTTCACCCTTTGTATCACATATTTATTTGAGGCATCAGTAGCATACTTAAGTGCTAAATATTTTACAGTACACTTTCTAACTGTTTTTATATTTATAAGAATATGTTGGCTGTTGAATGGCATTTAATTCTTAAACAGTGATTATAATATGTAGCAGGTTTAAAAGATTAATATCACAAAAATACAGACAGTTCATGGAGCATCATAAATAATTTGCAGAAAAAATTATTTGCTAAACATTGCAAATCAGAAAAATTATTCATGTCTGTCAGGGCAGTTTTATAACAGCAAATAATTTTTAAACCTGTTGTTTTTGCTACATGTATATTTATTGTCCAGACTAGAGTTCATGTAATTTGTCAAATAATTTTAAATGCATTAATATTTTTTTTGTGCCAGTAGTTGCAGGGTAAGATCTTGGCCCTCTTGAAGACAATAATAAGACTCCCACTGACTTTATGGATGCAAGCCTGGTGATAAGGTTGTCTTCATTTTATTACCCCTGGCATCATTCAAAATTGTAGGTTCCCCAGTGTTAATGTTTCAAAAAAAAAACCAAAAACATTCCTGCCACCCATTTAGAGCTCTACTTGGAAGTGCAAGCTGCTCTCTTTCCTAGGCCAAATGTCTTTTGACTTTAGTGGGAGGAAAGCCAGAGAAGGGACCAGCAACAGTTTACTGTCCAGGATATGTTGAACTTAATGAAAATAGTCTGTATTGTTTCAAAGACCATACAGGCAATTTGGCCTCTAGTTATCATGCATTAATAGTGTGACATAATGGTTCTATTAAAATAAACATGAAAATCCATGTTCTGACTTAGTAGCTTGTAGAAAGGCTTAAATCAATATTGCATAAAAGCTGTATGGCCAAATTTGTGCCTGTTTCATCCAGGGAGCCTAGGACAAGGCACACCAAGGTCTGCTGTCTTCTTTCTCTTACATGCAGAATCTCCAAATCCACTACAAAACCATTGCTGTTGGTGATGACCTGGATTTTTTTGAAATGTTACTCTGAAAGATGGCACAGAGGATCATACTTTCATGTGGTAGGCTGCCTATGAAAGAACTGGGAAAAAGTTGTCCATTGTCCTACTGAGGAGGTTTTTTTTAAAAAACAAACCTCTCAATACATGGACATTTAAAAAATGAGAACAAGGTTCTATTTTAAGATTACCTGTTCAATTATCAAAAGCTTATCTATAGGACAAGAAATGTGACTGGTTCCATGTACAGTAAAATTCAAGAAATTTCACTGAGGGTAGTGTTAGTAAGCATGTAACTTTTTTTCCTTTTGCAATACAAAATATATTTTTTTTCAGAATTGTGAAGACCTGTTTAATACTCTTAATTAGGGATCTGTCTCATGAGTAACTTTTTTGGAAAATAATAAAAAAAAAACCCAAACAACAAACACCCAACAAACTAAACCAAAACTTTTTGACAACTCAAACACAAAGCAGTAATGGATAGGTGTGAGGAGACTTGTGGAGACCAAGGCTGTGGAGCTTGATGTTCTGGTGTGCAGAGGTGTGGTGCTTGTTGTTTGTTTTAAAGTACAGCTAACATCTTGCACTGCTCGCCTATAAGGAGCTTTTTGTTTGCACCAAAGAAATATGAAGATGCTATCATGACAACATGTTCTGAATAAATACAGAAAAAATACTTCTGCCTCCTTGGAGACTCAGCTTTAAGTGGGCTATTAAAGGAAATGAGGCTGCTGGGATCTCAGAGTAAGATTCCAGCTGGCTCTTGGAAGCCAAGCGTGCGTGGCAGATGGTGGGGGCGTACAAGGTAGCCTCCTGTCCTGTGCACACCCGTGTGGGTCCCCAGAATGGCAGTTCCACCAGGACAGAGCAAAAGGCTGAATAAGTATTTCATGAGTAGTACAAATCCTTAAATGGGGTATGTTTTTAAACATCTGTATTGCATTAGCATGATGGAGCCCTAGTGATAAACTAAACTGTATCATGCTGGGCATGAACAATCGGACAACCTAAGGAGTGGGCAGTGGCTACAAGGAATTTTAACTGTGTGTGTAAGCTGAAGTCATTGCTTTACAGACGTTTAAGTGCAAAGACTGGTAATGAAGAGAGTAAGCTAAACATTCAAGTTGGTGTCACTGTCAGGACAAAATCTTAGCTGTTCTAAAATCAATGGCCAAAATCGAACCATGACTAGGACTTCATCCCAAATACCTCTCCAAGACACACCCCTTGCCCTACAGACACAAACTGCAGGCAGAATGCCCCTGGTCACCGGGATCTGTGGGGTGCAGCACCTCCCTGAACAAGGTGGTGACTGAATCCCACACTATAACCCCTCAGCTTCTGTGCCTGCAGCAGTGACTGACAGCATGACTGCTGAACACCCACGTACAGAGAGATACTGCACTGTACATATGGCAGAGTACAGAAAAAAGACCAAATGAAATCTAGCAAAAATATATTTTTCAGAAGAGAATGAGGCATACAAACAGCAAGTAATTCTTTAGTGCAGAAAAAAATGAATGTAACTGGTTAAGACAAAACCACCAAGTTTTCACTCGGTTCCAATTTTTTTTCTATTGCATAGGCATCTGCCATGTATGGTCAAAATACCAGATTCTTCTTCTCTTAGATAGTACAAAGAAGGAATAGAAAAGAGGAGAGAAGACCGAACATCAACTCTTGGCAGCTAGCAAGTGATGACATAAAGAGCACTTATGGCAATCTCTAAGCATAGTTATTTTTAATTTATTTAAAAGAAAATCCTATTGAGAACAGGACTAAGTTGTTGGCAGGAGCTATGTTACATTGATTTGTCTATAAATATAATGTTTGTAACTTGTGCTTCGTGCACTGCTTTGAATATTTGGATGAGAAGGTATAGCTGTTGGTGGTCTTTGTTAGTAAGTTCAGCCTAATGGAACTTTAGGAATATAAGGAGCTCTATGACCTGTTGCTTGTTATTTCATTCTTTAGATCTCAAGTAAGAAAATAGAAAGCAATATAGTGAGTAAATACCCCTAATATTTAAAACTGAATTGCATTTAAGACTATGCTATACAATCCTTTTCTGCTGGGAGACTGGGCAAGATAATACCCATTTATCTTATGACTTTCTACAGTTGTTCATCACTGCTGTATTAATAGGACAGTTAAAATATTTCACAAAATATCTGGCATTTTTTACCTGTCGTAGATAAAATATTGCTTGGTGTTGAAACCTTTTTTTTTTGGGAGGGGGGGAGGAAGGGAGGACGTGTGGAGGTGACAGCTGGGATAAAGGACAGATCTAAACTGGACAGATCGTGATGAAAAGAATTTTCTCAAAGATGATCTCACAATGTAACACGGTAACTTTCTATTTGGATTTATTATGATTGCTAGGATGATTTTGGACATTATTTCAGTTGTGCTTACTGGTGTCTGAGGCTAGCTAATTGGCTTCAGAGAAAGTGCCTGTGACTTCCACCATGGGAAGCTGGAGGTCAGAGAGGTCCGCTCTGCGCCGGTGTCAGTAATCGCCCAGTGTCTGCTGTGTGCCAGCCGCCTGTGCGATACCACTGCAGCCTCTCTGCTGAGGGCAGGGTAGCACCATCCGTGCCTGGAGAAGAGTTAGTCCCAGAGATGTGCATGGGGAGAGGGGCTGGCCCCGAGCTGACAGCACTTCTCTGCGGGCCGGCGCTGGGATGAATGCTGTGCTGGTAGAGCAAACCTACCTACCTGCATATGCTGGATTTCGTACAAGTTTAGGGTCCTCACTCACTGTCTGTGCAGGACAGCCTTTGGTTATGGTACATCAGCAATGGTTGGTTTTGTGTGGGACACAGGAATGTGGAGATTTAGAAACGGCAGGAGAGGTTTTTATTTTTTTTTTTTTTCTTCTGTCTCATCTAAGAACTATGCGGGCTGCAGCAGCTAAACAGCAGCGTTTTATGTTTTTTTTTTTTTTTTTTTTTTGGTGACGAGTTAGGACTTTAAAACAAAAGCCGAGCAGCCCCAGGGCCCTGCGTGCCACCCGATGAGGGGGAGGCTCCCCCTCCGGCGCACGGGCTAACCGCTGTGGTGCTGGAGCGATAGCAAAATAACCCGAACCAACCCCCCGAAAAAACTTCGCAGCCTCTGGCTATAAAGCACAATGCATCGGCTTCACGCCAACGCCGCTAATTTGAGCGGCTCTCACGTCCTGGCTGAACGCAACTCTTGGGGGCCGGGGCCGAGCGGGGCCGAGCGGGGCCGGGGGCCGGGCCGCCCCCCTCCTGCCCCCGCGGGGTGTCTCTGCCCCAGCGGCCGCCGGAGGGGCCGGTTGCCGCTCGCACGGCCGGGCAAGGGGCGGCTTCTCGCCCGGGGCCGCCGGCACCCGCGTCGCCCCCGCGCCCAGCCGCGCAGCCCAGCCCCGGAGCTGCCCCCTTCCTTCTCGCCATCGCCCCCAGCCCCCGCGGCCGGCGCCGGGTCCGTCAGGCGGCAGCCCCCTTACCTGCGGGTGAGACCAGCTCGCCTTCGCTGAGCTCCCCGGAGTCCGAGTCCATGCTGCAGGTACCGGCGGGGCAGCGGGACGGAGGGGCAGCGGGCGGCCGGCCGCCGCTGGCGGGAGGAGCGCCGGGAGCCGGGAGCGAGCGGCGAGCGGAGCCTGCTGCCTCCTCCTCTCCTCCCAGCCCGGGCGCTGGGTCCGCGCCACCACATGCAGCCACCTCGCTTAGTGCCATTGGCTGCAAAGGAGGAGCGGAGACGGGCGGGCTCCGGCGAGGGGAGGAGGAGGAGGGAGCGGGGGCGCGGCGGAGGAACGGGCTCTTCCCCGAGCCTGTTACACAAGTTGGTCTCGCTGCCGGCTGCCTTGCCCCGGCCTGGCCGCGGCCCCCGGCTGGCAGCCGCTGCGGGCGGGGGGGCCGGGGGGGCAGCCGGGGGGGCAGCCGGGACCCCCCGCCCGGAGCTGCGGCCTCCCCGCGCTGCGGGGGGTGGAGGCCGCTCCCGAGCCAGCGTTTAAGAGCACGAAAGGGACCGAAACGACAGTCCCGTACACTGGCTGCCATTGTGTCTCCCGTTCGCTCTGTCTCTTCCTTCTTCTCTGTTCTTGTGGGCATCTCCCCTGGCCGTCAGTCACCACTTCGTCTCTTTTCACCAGTTCCCTCTCCTTACGGATCAATGTCCGCAAAAATGAGTCGTTGGGGCAGTGGAGGCCAGCAGGGAACTGTCAGTTCTTACTGGATGTTAGAGTCCAGAAGAATATTGAAGGGGTGAATTTTGCTGCTTGCATGTTATTTACAGGCTCAGGGAGACAGTGCAATATGCAGTGAATGAAGCCTATGCTAGAAGACTGTTTTGAGCTCGAGTCTGAAAACTTTATAGCTTGAACTCTGCAGGCTTTGCTTGTGTCCTACAGGCTACTACAGTCCTGAGCCATCCCTTAATTCAGATGCTTGAGGCCGCTTTTTCAGCTCTGAGGTTAGGTAGGTCTTTCTTTTCCTCTGCTTTTACTCATTTCTACTTTTTCTTGCTGTTACAGGCCAAAGATCACTCAAATTCTAGCACAAACATCCCAGGAAAGTAGCAGCAAGAGCACTTTTCTAACTGGGAACCAAATGTCATCCTGAAACAGACTTCATAGATCTAACTGATCCATAGATATGTCACATCCCGTAAACCAGCCAGTGCTTTGAACACTTACCTGCAGATTACTGAAAACAAAGGTTTATGCCAGTAGCTGTAGATCACAGGTATCTTTACTCTGTAACGCTGTCCCCCAAAGACATGTGGATCCTCGTTGTGAGAGAAAGCATTGCCTGGACGCTGCTTTGAATTTGCATATATGAAATTATCTATTGTCATCAGACTATGCCCAACACTCTTGACAAATGTGAAGACTTTCTCTGTTAGCATATAGTGTAACATTTGGAAAAAAGAAAAAGACAAAGAAACAGGGTTCTTTTAAAACTTGAAGGGCCCTGTCAAATTCTTTTCAGTGATGGCTGATCCTGTACAGTGCTGAATCTAAGAACTAGAGCTACAATAGTAAAAATGAAACCACAGTTTGCCTTACATTCTAGGGTGAATCCTAGCATGCTCCTCTGCCTTCATATCAGGCTAAGCATGAAGAGATAGACCTCAAGCTTTCCGGCCCTGGAATACACAGATTCATATGTTGAATTTGGACACAAAAATCTTCAACCTCTGGAGTGAAAAGTTAGTTAAGTAGTTTGCAATATTGCTGTGATAACCTGGGCCCCTACTGTTAAGACACTTTTGCTTTTTATTCCATTAAAACAAGTTCTGACTTTTGTTTGTAATTGCTTTCATTAACATTAAAATTACTTTCCAAATACTGCTGATTATAACCCTGTAAATTTGTATCGTATAAGGAAAACCATCTACATTTAAGTGATTCTAGGATTCTATTATGAGGAGCCTATGCACAATCTGAGTGAAGATGATGTGGGGAATCTACAAGCATGATATAAACAACATGGCAATAGAAAAATGCCAAGATTAAGTCACAAAACATAATCCCAGATACCACACCAAGAACAGAATCTGAGAGCTAGAAAGAATTTAGTCTCTCTCTGTCTCTTTCTGTTGTTGTTTGCTTTTTATCTGCGTGAATGGAACCCCCAAAAACCTCCTCAATAAGAGTATAACAGTTTAAGTCTAATAGGAGGTGTAAGTTTGTATTTGAGTGCAATTAATTAATTTTCTGGACTATCTTTAGTTGCTTGAAACTCTAATGGTAATTTCTAACCTGGACAAATTCTGACTTTCTAATGACAATGACTGTAATTAGGTAAGCAAAAAACAAAATGTTGTTTGTTTGTTTTTTTGCAGGGATGCGTGTACAGCAGAACCCTTCCTGCTCCCCAGCAGTAAAGGGGGCTGCCCAGTACAGTGTGTTCTGGGTCATGTAATGCGCTGATACAATGCAGTTGTGTATGCACTTCCAAGATATTCTAGATGCTGGCCTTACCCTATTTTCTGTGTGGGCTTTTTTTTTTTTTTTTTTTTTTTTTTCTCTGAGAGCATAACCTATGCTATAACTGCGATTAAATGTTACACTTAGAATAGTCACACTTCTCTGCCACTGATCATAGTTCAGTTGGAGTTAAAATGAAAACCAAATCCCACTTACCTTAATTCTTGTCAGTTTTTTTAATCCTTGTACAACCACACTAATAAATATAATGATGGAAATGGTATAACTTAATATTATATTGCCTCAGACTTGTGAGATATACATTGAGCATTCTCATTACTATGCTGTAATTACTTTCTATTTCACAGTAAATGCTGTTTCAAGATTACTTTCTTTACTGCTGCTAACTGTAAAGCAGTTATTAAAGTTTTCAGCTGTAACAGAATGAGCATATTGTTTCATTTCAAAACATATGGTTAGAATTCAGTTTTTTCCTTCTTAATGTTCTCTGCCCAGCAGAGTCCACCACTTGGTTTAACATGTGACCTGGAAAATTCCATATGCTTAGAGCTCTGAACTTCATAGTTTCCACTCGTTACAGTACTGGTGCAGGAAATAGCACAAAAGGTTTATTAACAGCAATATATGTACCAACTTAGATGTATGTTAAATGAAAGTCCACATGGAGAAAGTTGACATTTCATGACTGACTTATTTTTTGCTTTTACTACAAATAGCACAATTACAGAATCATTGTTATAAGCTAAAGCTCTGTGGTTGTAGATCTGTGACTGTTTCCTTTATTACTGGGGTAGACCTAAAGATTTTTGGGATATTTAGAAACTGGTATGTTTTTTCTCAAGGCTCAGTTAATACATTTGCCTGCAGATCTCTACAAATATGACTTAGCAGGGGAGCTGGTAGCACAGCCGATTGGAACTGCCCCATGTGTTGTGTGTCTTCTCATTTATACGATGCTGTCTGTAGTGGCTACATGGCTGTATGGCTCTTCCATTCACATTTCAGCTGCATCTGGTCTTGATCTTCATTCCATATGGAACTTATCTGAAAACCTCCTCTGCCTACTCATTGTATCTGAGTGCTGGAGATCTGCCTGTGAGAGCTTTAGGATTCATGCTTTTTCACTGTTCTATCTGCAAATCATGCTTGCTTGTTCACACAAATACAATTTCATCATATTCTAGATACCAAAGTAGCCCAGCTACGTTAGCATCCATGTCTAGTATATTTATCCTTACAGGACTATTGTGAAATAAAATTAACATTATTTCTCTCTTTCAGAGGGAGGGAAATGGGGATCTGAGAAGCTGATTTAAAGTCTAATGTGAAGCACAGACTTTCACCTGTATCTCTTGAGCCGTACCTGAATTGTTAGGCTATCCATTTCTGCTAAACACAAGATTAGCAAACTGACTCTGTGCTTTGCTACACAAGATTTCCTCCTTCAAATTGAGTCTTAGAACCTATCCCAGGAAGCAGTCTCTCTTTTCTTTCCATTATTCAATCTAACAGAACCCCCTCTGCACTACCATTTTTGTGTCTGGATTGTCTGGTTTAGACTGTAAAGACTCATGTGTAGGATTACATTTTATTGGTTCTAAATATAAAAATATGAGATTACATTTTTTTCTCATAAATAATTTCTTAATGTTATTTAATTAAGCTCTGTCCTAGGATGTACTGTTTCTAATACTGTTGCCTAGTATTTTTCTTCACAGTTTATATTCTATCTTTCATATCGAAGCACCATTGCCACCGAATGTATTAAACACAGAAGCATTCCCCACATACTGATATACTAATGAAATGTACTGTAGCAGATTTTAGATAATTTTTTCCAATTTCTTTGTGGTCTCCATTTATGTGTATATGTTTAATGAAAAAAACCCTATCTGCACTATTATTGACAAAGCATGCATAACCAGTATCACGGATCAGTAGGTTCTCTGTCAACAACTTTGTCATGCCAGGAACTTCAATTCAATCAGCATGCATATACATATATACATTTTGCATGCCTTTTTAATAGATTTTACTTGCAATAATGCATCTTTTGATGGTGTGCAAACACTTAATATTTGATTTAGAATTCATATAATGAACAGGATGTTTGTATTACTTTAATTCTTACTTGTGTACCAGTAGATATTCAAAGATCTAGATTTTTGTAATATCTGATTTAGGCAGAGCATGTACATCCTATGTTGGGAGGATAAATATGGAAGAGGTTTTTTTAAGTTACTGTAAGAGATGTAAGGCATCATTTCTGAATACCTACCATAGTTCGGACATATTTTTAGCCATTGGATTTGCTGCCTTATGTTCTGCCTTTGTCTCTTGTTGACTTTTCTTAAAGAGCTGAGGAAGCCATCACAGACTGAGACCGCAGCCTGGTACTGGTGCTAACCTATGATGTGATTGATGTTTTGGGAATGTCAGATTTAAAGCTAGGACTGAAATTTAGCTTCAGTTGCCTCAATGCCTTGTAAGGTGCTCTTTTGAGATTTTAATCCCAATTTAAATAAAGTAGAAAAGAAAAATATTGTACTCCTGTGCAATTTACAACATGCTGAACTTCATTACTCGTGGTAGGTTATCAGAAAGGATAATTTTGTCAGAAATTGATATTTTCACCTGCTTAAGTAGTCTGGGATGGTGGGTTGACTACCACAGTAACAGTTCAGTAACAGTAAGTAAATGGTCTGATCTAAATTCTGACTGCTCATACTAATAAAGGAAGAAGGAACAACAAATATATTTTCTCTTGAGCTGATGTG